GAGGGCCACCATTGGGCATCCCACCATGATTTAGCCCCCGGTCATTGACCGGGGGCTAAGTGCAGGGACGAGCGCTCAAGACGGTGGCGCCCCAAACACGCGGCGGTGGGTTAACTGTTGTGGACCCACGCCACGATGCTGATCACCGCCACCAAGAACATCGCGCCAACGACCCACACCCAAGCCGGCGTCCTGGTATAGGGGTTCACGTACCCCGGCGGGTGGAGCGGGTCGTACTCTGTCTGCGCGGCGCGCTGCGCGCGACGTTTGATTGGGTCGTCCTCGGTCGCGGCGGCGTACTCTTCGTCGAAGATCGACTTCGGCTTGATCGGCCTCGAGGGCGAGCTGAGCGACGCGGCTTCGGTCTCTTCGGTGACCCTATCGCTTGAGCTCGTCACCTTGGACGAGCCCCGATCAGGCTTCGCGACAGACTTCGCTGACGAGGCCTTGCCCGACTTGCTGGCGGCGTTTGCTTTCGATCCGAGCTTCGAGTTGCTCTCGTCCGAGAGGACGCCCGACGACGCGGAAGCCTTCTTGGCTTGGCGCGCGGCGGGGCCCTTTTCTTCTTCGTCCAGGGGAGCGAGGCCGATGTCCTCATCGGTATCGACGGAGGGCGTCGAGTAGAGCTTGGCGGTTTCGCTGGCGGCAGGAGGGACGCGGCCACTCCCGCTGCCCGGTTTGGACAGCGCGCCAGGCGGGGGCGTTTGTGAGTAGCGGCTGAGGATGCCGCTGCCGACGCCACTGCCGAGCCCTTCACCGACCCGGACACCGCTGCCGCTGGATCCCATGCCGACGGTCGATTCGCCGCGTTCGGCGAGCCAATCGTTCATCAGTCGAGCCACGTCCCCGGCGGTCTGCGGACGGTCGTCCGGCTTCTTCGCCATCATCCGCGCGCAGAGGTCCACCAACGAGAGCGGCGTGTCGGGCCGCAGCTTCAGCAGGCTTTCGGGCTCTTCGACTTGGTGTTTGAGGAGCCGCTCGGAGATCGTCCCGTCGGGGAACGGCGGGCGGCCCACCAGCAGGAAATAGAGCGTACAGCCGAGGCTGTAGATGTCCGCCCGCGCGTCGGCGGCGTGGCTGTTGAGGGCCTGCTCGGGCGCGAGGTAGTCGGCCGTGCCGAGGACGTTCTCGTCGTTGGCGAGCGTGAGCGACGTCTCGTCGTCGTTGAGCTTCGCCAGGCCCATATCGAGCAGCTTGACCGTACCGTGCTGGTCGAGCAGGCAGTTGGCCGGCTTGATGTCGCGGTGCACGAGGCCCATCTCGTGGGCGTGCTGAAGACCGGTCGCGACCTGCGTGACGTACCGCACCGCGGTGACGAACGGCAGCGGGCCGTTCTGACTCACCGTCTGATGGAGATCGCGTCCATCGACGTACTCCATGACGATGTAGTGGGTGTCTCCTTCGTTATCGATGTCGAAGACGCGGACAATGTTGGGGTCGTCGAGCCGGGCCGCCGCGCGGGCTTCGAGCTGGAACCGCGACAGGTACGAGCGGTCCTTCACCCGCTGCCGCGGCAAGACCTTGATCGCCACCCGCCGTTCCATGAGCACGTGCTCGGCGAGATAGACGTGGCTCATGCCGCCCTTACCGATCTGGCCGAGCAACTTGTACTTGCCGAGTCGAAACCCGCGGTGCTTGCCGGCGAGCAGTTTGTCGGCTTGCCAACGCGTCAACAGCCCGTCGGCGACGAGCATGTCGGCGACCTTCTCCTGCTCGACGGGAATCCCGCCGGGCTCCTGCGCGCTCTTCTCTAAGAACGCATCGAGCTTCTTCGGAGTTACGAGGTCGCTCCGTTTGACCAGGTCGATCAGCTTTTCGGAGGCGTCCTGAGACATCCGTCTTGCTGGGTCCGTTGCCGACCGTTGCGGCCTCCGCGCGTACGCCAAGTTGTGGCGTCGGCGCGTTAGCGCGAGCGATACTAGGAAAGTGCCAAAGCCCAACCGACCGGCGTGACGCATGACGCGTCGTCCGGCCAGCCTGAGCTATTCGTTTGTTCCGAGTGGGAGTCTTCCTGACACTCCTGACGAACGCCGAAATGCGACATCCGCCCGCCTGAGAAGAGTCAGCCGCTGGCGCCGATCGCGACGAAATCGCCGCAACCGTCGCTAGCTACACCAGTTAAGCGTATCACGGCCAGTCAAACGGGACCACCGTTTTTCCGTTGCGGTTGGTCCTAATTGCGAACGAGTCTCAGCCCGAAGGGCCGGTCGTGCCGGAAAAAACACCAGCCCCTACCACCGCCCCCCGTAGGGTGGGGGAACCTAGCTATTCCCGTTCGACGACGGCCCGGACGATGTCCGAGTCGAAATAGTTGGTGCGCATCCCCGCATCAACCACCAGCCGCTGGGCGTTCATGCCCGAAGACCGCGGGCTGAGCAGGAAAACCGCCGCCGCGGCGGCCTCTTCGGTCTTCACGGCTTCTTCACGGAGGGTCGCTTTCTCGGCAAACAGGTACGAATCGACGTACCCGGGGATCCCCGCCGAGGCCGAAGTCTTGAGCAAGCCTGGCGCCACGGCGTTGAACCGCACCCGGCTGAACTGGCTGAACGACTTGGCCAGGAAGGCCAGCGACGAGTCGAGGGCCGCCTTGATCGGGGCCATGTAGCCGTAGTTCTCGCTTGCCATCTCGGTCGTCGAGATCGAGATCGCCACGACCGAGGCGTCCTCCGCTAGGGAATCCTTCAACGCACCCGCCATCGCCACCAGCGAGTAGCAGCTGATCGAGAACGTCCGCAGGAAGGCCCGCTTGGTCGTCTCATGGAACGGTTTTAATCCGNNTCCTCATAGTCCGCGAAGGCGATTGAATGGACCAACCCATCGAGCTTCTGCCCCGTCCGCTCGCACTCGGCCGCCACCTCGGCGCCGAGGCGTTCGATCTCCTCCTCGTGCTCCACGTCGCAGATCAGCACCAGGGCGTCGGGCCCCACGAGCCGCTGGACCTCGTCGCGCCGCTTCTCGCTCCGCACTGAGTAGATGACGCGGCAGTCGGCCTCGGTCAGCAGCCGGGCGATGTGCCAGGCGACGGACTTCTTGTTGGCGACCCCGGCCACGAGGACCGTCTTGCCGGCGAGTTGGAGGAAGTCGGAGGGCATGTGGAGTGGGCAGGGGGCAGGGGCCGGTCGGCAGTGGGCAGTGACGGCAAGCCAGACTTAGTCTGACTTGGGGCGAGACTCGATCTCTGCGATGAGCGACTCGGCCTCGGTGGGCTCGATCTCGCGCACTAGCAGGCGGCGGAAGCGGGTTTCGCTGCCGTGCGTTTGGAGGTGGATCCGCCCTTCGTCGAAGACCGGCGCCGCGCGGTCGAAGTAATTCTCGAGCGGCGCGTCGTCGACGACCTGTTTGTCGTTGAGCACGACCCGCACGTAGGGGCCGACCATCCGCACCGCCATCGTGTTCCACTCGCCGGTCGGCTTGTCCGCCGGCTCGAGGGGCCACTTCCCTGGGCCGTTGTTGTTCCAGAGGGCGCCGGAGCCCTTCAGGGCGCCGTGCTTGTGGGCCGCTTCATTCCAGGGGTCCCAGAGCTGCACCTGCGGCGTGTCGCGGAGGTAGACGCCGCTGTCGCCGTTGGGCGCGAGGTTCCAATCGACCAGCAGCTCGAAGTCGCCGTACTTCCGCGCCGTCACGAGGTGCGGGCTGTGGCCGTCGCTCACCAGATCGTCCCCCTCGACGCGCCAGTGGTCGTGGAGCTCGCCGTCCCACTTCGCCTGCTGCTCGGGCGTGATCGTCGACGGGTCGATCGTCGTCCCCCCGACCCAGCCCGCGAGGCTCGCCGCGGGAAAGATCGACACGAAGCCTTCCGGCATGTCCTCCGCCATCGCCAGCGACGATAGGCACGAGCCGGCGATTAACGCCGCAAAAACCGCAAGCCTTCTCATGGTGTAACTCTGCGGGGTAACGCTACGGGGTGAGCGGCGCCGACATCGGCAGATCTTTACTGGCGAGCGGTCAGCGTACACGCAAAGTCGAACCGACACGCCAGCTTGCTGCGGGTCACGTTCGTCACCTTCGCCTTCATGAAGAACGCGTCGGCGAGGCGTTCGGTCAGCTCGACCTCGATCTCGACCGTGTCGCCGGGGCGGACCATGTCGCGGAACTGCACGTTATTCGCGCGCGTCGCGACGGGGACCTTGCCCTCGGCATCGGTCACCAAGCCCGACAACAGCACGGCGCCGGCTTGCATGCTCGCTTCGCAGAGGATGACGCCGGGCGTGATCGGGAAGTCGGGGTAGTGCCCGCGGTACCAGAACTCGTCGCCGCTAAACGTCTTGCGGCAAACGATCCGCGCCTCGCCCAGCTCCGTGACCTCGTCGATCAGCAGGAAGGGGTCGCGGTGAGGGATGGCGGCGAGGATTTGTTCTTTGGACATTGGGAGGAACCACAGATGCACACGGATGAACGCGGATGCTTCGCTTACAGCTGCCTTGCCGCAAACATCAATGCTTGTCGGATATCTTCGTCGTCAAGTTCTGGATATTCGCGTCGCAAGTTAGATCGGTCTGGATAGACGGCTACAGCTTCAAGGACACGGCGCACGGTAATCCGTTGTCCGCGGACACAAGGCTGTCCTTGCAGCACGTCTGAATTGGTAACGATTCGTTCGAGCGCTTCCATCCCAGCTCCTCTGAAAGGGTGGCCCTGACTCTAGTGAGCGAGACGGACAAACTCTGTCAACGTGACGGACGACTGTGTGCTACCCCTACTCAGAACAACACAATCACGTTTTTCCGAAACGACCTTCCAGCTCATAAACGAATGAGTGGAACTCGTCTCTTGCTCGCTTAGCGTCAACAGGATCGTCGAAATCTTCTTCTCCCTCAATGAAGTGGCAGTGACACACCTGGTGGGCAAGATCCCTCGCACGATGGATCTCTTGCAGAGCAATTCCTTCCAGTGCTTCCAAATGCGACTGTATAAGTCGCTCAAACGATCCATTGGCAGCAGATGCCGCGTCTGATTGGTCAATCAGCACATGTAGGCGTTTCAGAACTGCCTGGTTAGACATCCGCGTTCATCAGCGTCCATCTGCGGCTAAATAGTTACCCCGCCGCCATGTCGGCGGCGATCTCGGCCTCGGCGCCCGCTGTGCTGCGGCTGCTGTTGGTCATCAGGTGGTTGTCCACTTCGTTCGCGACGATCACGCCGTAGTTCATCGCTCCTAGCCAGCCCGACATGATGATGCCGACGCTGCCGGCGTGGTACAGGCCGCCGATCTGTTGCGGCAGGGCGCGGCTCACGGCGAGGCCCTCGAACTTCGTGCCGAAGCTGGCGCCGTTGAGGTGGTGCGTGTAGTGGTTGAACGTCCGCGGCGTCGAAGCCTCGACGTGGACGGCCCGGTTCCGCACGTCGGGGACGTACTTGTCGAGCGCGTCGAGCGTCGTTTCGCAGAGGTCGGCTTTGCTCGCCTGGTACTCTTCCTCGGACAGATTGCCCCAGTCTTCCCAGCGGGCGTTGGTGCTGCTGACGATCAGCTTTTGCGGCCGGCCCTCGGGACGCGTCCCGGGGTAGTACATCGAGTAGGTGCGGCTGGTAATGTCGCGCGAGAGAAGCTGCTCGGTGTTGAACGTCGGCGCCGTCGAGGTGAACAAGAGGTCGCCCGTCGATTCTTCGAGCGGATCGTCGGGCTTCAGCGCGATGTAGACCTGCGTGCTGGAGTTGTTCACTCGCACAGCGCGGGCCTCATCAACGAAGCTGTCGGAGAACTTGTCCTCGCCGACGAGTTTGAAGATCGTCGCCTTGAGGTTTGAGTTCGACACTACGGCGTCGCACTTGATATGGCGGCCGTTGACGGTGACGCCCGTCACCTTGTCGCCGTCCACATGCACCTGCTCGCAGTCGGCGTTGATGCGGATATCGACGCCGCTCTTCCGCAGTTCGGCCTCCATCGACGTGATGAGCTTGTCGGTGCCCCCTTCGAACGTGAAAACGCCCTTTGACATGAAGTTCGAGAAGACGATGCCGTAGCTGATCGCCGGGTCTTCGAGCGTTGAACCATTCGCATACGTGATCGGCTCCATGAGCAGCCGAATCACGTCCTCACGGCCGGGGAAGAACTTGTCGAACAGCTCGCGCGCGGTCGTCGTCTGGTCGTCGTAAAAATTCATCCCACGGGCCGTGTCGAAGAACGCGTCGACCGTCGCTTGCGGCACACGGAAGTTTTCGACGAGCTTCTTCGAGAAGTCGGCGCGGGTGAAGTCGGTTTGCAGCGAGAACATCGGGTTCTCGAAGCGGATGCCGGTGAGCTGGACGATCGAGTCGGCGATCTCCTGCGACCAGTACCGCCGGCAGCTCTTCACCATGCCGACGGGGAAGCCGTGCAGCGAGATGTCGAAGATGTGGTGGCCGGGCCGCTTGAACCACGTGGCGAGGCCGCCGAGCTTGTAGTGCTGCTCGAGGAGCAGGACCGAGCGCCCCTGCCGGGCGAGGATGTTGGCCGAGGTGAGCCCGGCCAGCCCGGCGCCGATGACGACGACGTCGTAGTGGTCCTGGGCGCCGGCGAGGAAGTCTTAGTTTCATGGGGAGTGGGCAGTGGGCGGTCGGCAGTGGGCAGCAGCGAAGCGAGCAAGATTTTGTGAGCCGGGCCGTCCCCGGTCCCGGCCGCCCCATGATACGGCATTCCCCCGCCCGTGCTAAACTGCCGCGATGCGCCACTTCACCCGCCTCGCCTTCGCCGCCGCCCTCTTAACAGTCGCCCCCCGCGCAACCGCGCAGGATGCTGAAGTCACGTGGACCGCTTCGCCCTGGTTCGCCGAACGGGTCGCGACTCTTGCGGAAGACCCAGACATCCGCGTCCACGTCAACGAACCGACCAATAATGATGGGCAGGGTGGCGCCGACGGGCGCCCAACGCGGTTGCTCGTCTTCGCCCTGCCCAACGGCAACACCCTCGAAGAAACCCTCGGCTGCGCCCCCGCCGAGGGCCGGCACTGGCGGCATGGCATCCAGCACATCGCCGCGCAGACGCGAATGCTGCGTTCGATGCTTCCCGAAGAGCGAATCGTCCTGATCGCCGTCGAAGCGCAGGGCCTCACCTGGCCGAACTGGCGGGCGACCCACGAGGGCGCCAATGCGATCATCGCCGAGAAGCTCGCCGCGTGGCGTGAGCGTTTTGGCGGACGCCCCTCGAAGTCGGCGCTGTCGAAGGTGACGCTCGCTTGCCACTCCGGCGGCGGCAGTTTCTTGTGGGGCGTGATCGAGGGGAACGACGCGCTGCCCGATTGGCTCGATCGCATCGTCTATCTCGACGCCAACTACTCCTTCGACGCCAAGCTGCACGACGAGAAGCTACGGGCGTGGCTCGACGCGCCAGGCGATGAACATCGCCTCGTTGTCATCGCTTACGACGACCGTGAGATCACGATCGACGGCAAGAAAGTTGTCGGCGACGACGGTGGCACCTTCCGCGCCACCGAGCGGATGCACCGGGCGTTCTCCGCCGCCAAGCCGCTCGTCACCGCGGTCGAAAAGCCTTGGACGCGCACTGTTGGCTGGGCCGGCCGCTTCCGCAGCGAGGTCCACGCCAACCCCGAGAACAAGATCCTCCATACCCGCCTGGTGGGCGAAATGAACGGCCTCGTCCACGCCCAACTCATCGGCCAAACGCCCGACGGCCGATCCTCCGACAAATGGCCGGGCCTAACGCCGCCGGCGCTTTATGAGGAGTGGATTCAGCCGGAACCGTATTGAGCGAGCAGAAAGGACCGGGGGCTTCTGTAGGAGGCGTCTCCGACGCCGATTACGGTGTCCAGAAACGGCGTGGTGCGCGTAATCGGC